CAGATAGCATGCAGAGGAAGACATCCAGGAGACCATGGGAAGGATATGAGGGTCTGAAGCTCAGTCAAGCACAGTCACTGAACCTACACCCTACTTAAAGAAGATGAGAAGACTAGCCGTAGTAGAAGACTCCCTATTGTGTGAGATTGAAACTGAACTATGCTGGGAAGATCTAGGAATCCATCAGGTATGATGTCTCCCTGGAGGATGGAGGATGGGTGTGACAGAAGGATTGCTGGTACTCATAAAACCTACAGATGCATTTCACTTTCTTCTTATCCACATGGGAACAAATGACACAGCCAGGAGGAACTATGAAGAAATCACATCAGACTTTGAACCTCTGAAAAGGAAACTCAAGGACTTTTGGGCCCAGTTGGTCTTCTTCTCCATCTTTCCAGTACTCAGAAAAGGAGCAGAAAGAGAAAGGAAAATAGTCTTGGTGAATGACTGGCTACAAAGGCAGTGCCAATGTGAGGGATTTGGATTTCGGGACTACAGGCTAGGCTTCCTAGAAGGTGGACTGCTGGCAAGTGATGGGCTGTACCTCACAAGGACTGGGAAGAATGTGTTTGGCCAAGGTGTGAAGAAATTCATGAGGAGATCTTTAATCACAAGGGGGAGGGAGATACAAGCTGAGAGAGAAAGATAGAGTCATGTGAGAAAGAAATGATACCCTCTTTGAATTATATGGTTTATATCAGGACATAATAAAAATATTCTGGTCCTTAATAGGTCTGAAAATTAGATAAACACAACCTCCAATGAACACCACCACATGACATATTACACTATGTCATGATTTATTTTACAAGAATAAAGACAAATCACATGACTGCAGATGAAGGTTTGTGCACAATAAGACAAAAAGAACAAGCAGCTCTAATGGGGCCCATTAATAGTCTTCATAAAAATGAAATCAGCCCACAGAATGCACAACCTCCAGTGTCCCTATATAAATGCCAGGAGTCTGGGAAACAAACAAGAACTGGACATCTTAGTTCAGGAGGGTAAATACGCTTTGAAACAAACACCTTAAACTTGGTAGGATGACTCTCATGACTGGAACACAGTAGTTGAGGGATACCAATTCTTCAAAAAGAACAGAATGAACCAAGAGAGAGGTGAGGTAGCAGCATATGTCACAAATACACATTCCTGCACAGAAATACAGGACAACGTGCTTGGATTAATAAAATGGGGACGAAAACAAAAGAAACCTGGTAGTTGGAATTTACTACTAACCGCCCAGTCAAGGAGAAGATACAAATGAAACCTTTGAAAAACAAATTTCAAGAATTTCAAAGAGACACAATGCAGTAGTAATGGGAGATTCCAATTATCCTGATATCTGCCTGGAGACAAATTCTGCCAAATATGGACCTTCCAAGAAATTCCTGGCTTGTGTGGCTGATAAATTTCTTCTTTAAAATGTGGAGAAAGAAACTAGAGGGCTAGTTATCCTTGATCTGATTCTAACTAATAGAGATGATGTGGTGGAAGAAGTGGCAGGAAGGGGAATTCTGGGGGAAAGTAACTATGTTGTACTTGATTTCTTGATTTCAACAGAAACTTTGCTCTAGAAGCAAGTATATCGGTGGCTAAAAGGAACTGAGAGAGTTGGGCTTCTTTGCAATGATACATGTGCAAAGAAGCCCAGAAGGGGGG